TTGGCTGCCTTTGACTCTAGATCATACTGAAGTTCTAGCATGTCCGGTACGGCAGCACTCAATGGTGGTGTGACTTCATTCAGGCCACGATAGTCTACTGTTAGTCTCCATTCTCCATTAGACTTTCGCACTGGCCATATGGGGCTATTAAAGGGTGAGCGGGTCCTGCTGATCACCCCATGACTCTCCAGTCTACGGATCAGCTGATGGATGGGAATCAGGGAGTATAGGTTGGTGCGATATGGCCGCCGGTTCACTGTTGTGGTCGCAATTGGCACTTGTTGTTCTTCAACTTTCAGCAACCCCACAGCAGAGGGATCTTCTGAGAGACCAGGCAAGGTGGACAGCTGCTCAATTTCCTCAGTCTCCAAAGCAGCAATACCAAAAGCCCACCGGTACCCTTTTGGGCCTTTGAAGTACCCTCTCTTGAGGTAGTCTATGCCAAGGATGCATGGAGCCTCTGGACCAGTCACAATAGGGTGCTTTTGCCACTCCCTCCCAGTCAGGCTGATTTCAGCCTCCAGCACAGTCAACTCTTGGGATCCTCCTGTTACTCCAGAAATATAGATGGATTCCACCCCTTGACAGCCTGATGGCATCAGGGTACACTGTGCACCGGTATCTACTAGAGCCTTATACTTCTGTGGGACTGATGTGCCAGGCCATCTGATCCACACAGTCCAGTAAATCCGATTGTCCCCTACCTCCACCTGGCTGGAGGCAGGGCCCCTCTAATGGTCGTCACAGCATTGGACACTTAAGTCGTGCTGAAAGGGATTATTCTTCATTATCACAGGAGCTGGAGTAAAATCAGCTCTTCCATTCCATCTGGGAAACTGCTCACCAGAGACTGAAGCCGTAGCTCTCATGGGACAATCAGTCTTGGCCCTTGCTCCCCTCTTCAGTTCACTCACCCATTCCTCCAAAGCTGAAGTAGGTTTTCCATCCCACTTTGTCATGTCTTCTCCGTGATCCAGCAGGTAAAACCATAGGGTACCCCGTGGCGTATACCTTCTGTATCTCCTCTCTTGAACAACAGGACGCCTTTTGTTAATAGCTGAGACGTGTGTTGGTACACATGAGGAGCTGGATAAATCAGATAGATCGTCCCTCAGTTGTTCGAGGTCCTGGGAAAGTTTTTTCACAGCTGAGATGATGGAAGGGGTGAGGTTGTCTTCGAACTCTCAGAGTTTATGAACCATTTCATCCACTGTTAGTGGTACTATGTCATTCCAGGTTACTGTTGCCAATGAATGGGCATATGATGACGGTGCATTCCGTGTGAGTTTTCGCCACATGGGTCGTGTACATTCAACTTCATCTGGATCTATAGGTGTATCCCCGTTATTCGGCTTGATGTGATAGAGCATCTCTACGATGGCCGATTCCCTCAGAGACTGGATGCCTTTGTCTATAGTAGTCCACTTGGCCGAACGACTCGTAACATCGTCCTTGTACGGAAACCTTTCTTTCACAGCTGCCAAGAGCCTCCTCCAAAGGCTGAGGGACTTTTTCTCTCTTGCAATTGCTTTGTCAATTCCCCCTTCTCTAGCAAGTGATCCCGGCTGCTTGGCTTCTGTACCTTCTAGTTCGTGACCATCGGCCCCATTGTCCCAGCATCAGAGTAACCAGGTGATGATGTGCTCCCCTGGTTGACGGGTAAAATCTTTTCGCATATTCCGCAGCTCGGTTGAGGTCCGAGGTCGAGAAGTTACCTCTTCTTCTTCTTCTTCATCATGTGATGATGACTCCTGATCAGATTCTGGACCGGGTGGTGAATTCATTGGTTCTTCATCTCGCTTCACCCTTTTTGCCTCCTTTTTGCTTGTTCTCTTGCATACAGGGGCAACCGATATTGGTATGAAGTGGTCCTCTGGTCTGGCTGCAGTGATTATCACTGTGGTTTGAGTAGCAACTGTACTTGTTGCTGGGGGTGGTGTAGCTGCTGTGCTTGGAGCTGGGGTAACCGCGCTGTCTGTTGCAGCTGAAGTTTGAGCAGCTCCTGTACTTGCCACTGGGGTAGCTGCTCTGTTCACTGAGGCCAAAGTTTGAGTAGCGACTGTACTTGTCGCTGGGGTTGGTGCAGCTGCTGTGCTTGGAGCTGGGGTAACCGCGCTGTCTGTTGCAGTTGAAGTTTGAGCAGCTGCTGTACTTGCCGCTGGGGTAGCTGCGCAGTTCATTGCAGCCAAAGTTTGAGTAGCGACTGTTGCTTTGCCCTCAGATCCGCCGACATTCTTTTCCTTTTGAAGGTGCTGCATAGTGTTGAACAAGGCCCTGTAAGCATAGGCCAAGCCCCAGCACGTTGCCATGATTTGTCCATCTCTGGTATGGCCAGAATGACCACACACCTCATTTAAGTGTTTTACTAATTCTTCTGGATTTTGCAGTTGTTCGGTAGTGAAATTCCAAAGTACTGGAGGGGCCCACTGACCTAGATACTTGCCCATACTATCCCACACACCCTGCCACTCATGGCTGCCCAGCCTCTGGGAAAATCTCTCGGTCCTCCTACATCGTCTTTTGACCCCAGACAAGACCCAAACCTGAATCTGCTTAACTCTTGAAATCAGTAGTGGGCAAAACACACTCTGTATGCGTGTTAGCATGGTGATTCCCATCACCATCAGCAAACAAGTCTCAACAGCATTAAAATGCCATTCAAAAAATTCAAAACTCTCAAATGTAAATGGTCTGGGGGGACGACTGGGAGGGTAAAAGGATGTCTCCTTCACAGGTTGAGCACCTGAGAAGGAGAAGAAAGATGTGTAATTGCTAAGCACCTCCATCATATACCTCCCAAAGTATAAAGGTGGTGACCACACTGGGAACATAAGCCAGATCAGTTTCATGATCAATGATTCTATTGTATTACAAGTCATTACCATAAAGTACAATGGGATAAAAACCTTAGCCCAAGACCCACACTTGAAAAACACTAATGCAGCAAATACCGGATGGACGTAAAATATGATATACTGAAACTGTGAGATCAAGAGGAACAACCTTGAGAGCCAATAAATCAGCATTGTGACGAGTGACTATCAATCCAGTCAGATCTGTTCTTTTCTCAATCCCTCGTGCCCCACATTGGGCGCCAAAAAGAACTGTCGTGGTTTAAACCCAGTCAGGTAACTTGTTCACTCACTCCCAGTGAGTGGTGCTGAGCTGACAACAATCGAGGTCCGTGTCCCCCCCCCCACCGGGGTTCTCCCCTTCCCCACTCCCGGAGGAACGGGGAGGAGGATCGAAAAAGTGCAACTCCCACGGGTTGAGACAAGAACAGTCCAGCAAACAATGTACACAAATCACCACCGCTACTATCAACTACAACAATGATAAGGGAAAATAACAAGGGAAGAGAATACGATACCACCGGCCAAGAAAACGAGTTCCACCCGGAAGCCCGTGTCCTTCCGGGTAACTCCCAGTAACCCCCCACCCCGGCCATGACGTGCTGTGGTATGGAATCTTTTACACATTTTCCAAAACCTATTTTTCCCCATGCTTTGTACCATTCATGTATCTAAAAAAAATGATTTACAAGTTTCAATTTGAAATCTGTAATAAGGTTCATGAAGTTCAACAAGGCCAAGTATAAGGTCCTGCACCTGTCTCAGGGCAATCCCAAGCACAGCTACAGGCTGGGCAGAGGCTGGGTTCAGATTAGCCCGGCGAAGAACAGCTTGAGGGCATCGGTTGACAAGAAGCCCAGCATGATCCAGCAATGGGTACTTGCAGCCCAGAAAGTCAACTGTACGCCACACTGCATCAAAAGAAGCGTGACCAGCAGGCCAAGGGAGGGGACTGTCTCCTTCTACTCCGCTCTCCTAAGACCCCACCTGCAGTACTGCATTCACCTATGGGGCCCCCAACACAAGAGTGATGTGGACCTGCTCAAGTGAGTACACAGGAGGGCTATAAGGACAAACCGAGGGCTGGAACACTGCTATGAAGACAGGTTGAGACAGCTGTGCTTGTTCAGCCTGGAGAAGAGAAGGCTATGCAGAGACCTTAGAGCAACCTTCCAGTGCCTAAAGGGAGACTACAAAACATCTGGAGAGGGACATTTTACAAGGGCATGTAGTGAGAGGACAAGGGGGAATGGCTTTAAACTGACAGACAGGAAACTCAGATTAGATGTTGGAAGGACAAAAAAAAAAACACAGGAAAAAAAAAAAACAACAAAAAATGCAAACAACAAAAAAAAAACACCACACACAAAAAAAAAAAAAAAAACAACAAAACACACCACCAAAACAACCCAGAAACACTGACACAGGTTGCCCAGAGAAGCTGTGGCTGCCCCATCCCTGGAAACATTCAAGCTCAGGTTGGACAGGGCTTTGTGGAACCTGGTCTAGCAGGAGGTGGCCCTGCATCAGAAGCAGATGATCTTGAAGGTTCCTTCTAACCCAGACCATCCTATGGTTCTCTGATTATTCATTTTCAGAAAACAAGATGAAATTATCTAATGGGCAGCTACCTGCATGCAAGTACCCAGGCAAGGCCCCTGCCCTAGCACAGCTCCTCCTCAATAAGCACTGAGGAGCACAGCACAAACCCCTCGGAGCTCAGGCCCACTCCCCCAGGGCAGAGTCAAAGCAGCAAGCTGAGATACGCAAATGCTTGTACCCTCCATCTTTGCCTTGACCTTCCCTAGCTACTGGGTTCCAGGTAAAGGCATTATGACATCACAGGGCATTTGTTGACAGCATGGAAGGGGGCAACTGCTGACGCCATCACCCCAGCACTGCTCGTGACTGGCTGAGCTCCCATCGGGGTGATAGCATGAGATTGCTGGTGCAGAGACTGCAGTTCACCAGGGAGCAGCGGGGGATACTCAGCCTGCAGCGGTCCCTTGTCCTTGCTCTCTGCATGGCCAGTCTCTTCCCCGGCAGCCTCAGCCTTTCCAACCATCCTGCCTGGGCCACCCTCATGGGGGATGTGCCTCGCCAGGACCAGGGCATTGGCACAGGGAGCCCTGAGGAGCCGCTCCTGCCCTCCTCCACCCCAGTGACTGGAGGCCTGGGGTCCCTGGAGGTGACCTTATTGAGCTGGTCGTGCCTGTGCCTGCTCCTCAGCGGGGTTTTGCTTATATGGTGCCTTTGCAGGAAAGCCAAGAGACACCAGAGAGAGGTGAGTGGTGGGGTCAGCTAAATGGGATGCTGCCAGATGGCTGGGAGCCAGGACCCACCAAAGCCTTGGGCCAATGTGCAGGCAGGGTAAGGACTAACAGCCCATGTGGAGAAGAAAGCCTGGGCAAGTGCCCTATGTCATCTGCCTCTTCCAGAGCCCTTTGACCAACCGCAGGAGGCTGAGACGGGTCTTGGCTGCAGAGGAAGAAATGAGGACACACTGACCCATGACAGGAAGAAGGCAGAGCCTGCCCGAGGAGGGCTTTTTTGCACATCCCGCTGCCCAGCAAAGCCTAACCAAACTTGACTTTCTCCAGGAGAGACCAAGCCCAGCCAGAGGGCTCTCAACCCGAGGAGGCTCCTGCCCTTTTCACCATTCTCCCTGCCCTGTCATTTGCAGGAGATGGGCCAGACACCCTCAGCTCCTCCAGGGACATGCTGCCAGGACGACTCCTGCTGCAAGACCTACGAGCTCATCTGTCGGCTGAAGGAAAATCCTGACTTGATGAAGAAGTATCTGAGGCACCTGCACAGCTGCTACCTGCAGGAGGACATTCTGCAGATAGAAGAAGGAAATGCCCTAAGACTTGGAAGAGGAGGAGGCACATTTCTCTGACAAGACAGCCACAGATCCCTGAAGGCTGGGGCCCAAGGACAGGGCATTGTAGGAGATGCAGAGCAAGCAATGCTGTCCCTGCACGCTAGGACATCCCCAACAATTAGCATGTTATGCGAAACCAGCTCCAAGCTAAATGTAGTATCAAATGTGCGTTCAAAGACAGAGGCAAGTTACTCTGCACAGGGATGTTTCAAAGTGCCTTCCAACCAAAGAGAAATCGCACTCATGTGAGTTCTTCAGGCTTCTCCAAAGAAGCAGGAAAAAAGGACTGCAGCAGCAGCATTTAAAGCGCAGTCACAAAATCAGATGCCTCCTACACTGCCCATGAATAACATTCCTGTAACTAGCCCCACAGGATCAAGCGAGGCTGCTCTCACTTCTTGAGTTAGACAAATTCAAATGCCACACTCCCTCCTTTCATGTTACATTAGATTTTCTTCACCTTGCTACAATATTAAATAAATATTCTCTCAGATCCCTAAGGTCAGGTCTCTGTTTCTGTCCTAGACTCATCTCTTAGAGTAAGGGTGCAAAAATGACTGCACAGACCAACACAGAATTTTACATCTTACTAGTTCCACTGACAAAACACCTCCTTTGTTCCTATCACCCTACCCCTCTTCAGTCACAAGGATCACACATTCTCCTCTTCAGCCAAGGTTACACGTATTGTAATAATTTCTTTGACCATCTTTTAGACAATTTTAGTTTCACTACAAATCCAAGCAGGGATTTGGGAACCCATCACTGTTAACAGCTGTGACTTTCCATGTGTAAAATGAAAGACTGCCTGACTCAAACACAGGGGCACAGGAACCTGTCTCAGAACCAGTAAGTTGAGGCTAATTGAAATGTATTCTTCAAACTCAATTCAAGATTTACTAACATTGGCTACAGATTGGGGATGTCACACGGATTCTACACTACACTGCTGAATCTTTAAGCTTATGGCATATGATGCAAAGTGTGAAATCACTCACCTCTTAAAGGGAGAGCTTTCAACCTTCACCAGCCTCCTTAGCTGCCATCCTGACCCAAGAAAAGAGTCCCCAGCTGCAAGCCCAAAGCACTGAAGAGGACTGATTCAAAAGGGGTCTCCAGTGGCGCTCTGTTTATGCCCTGGTCAAATATGGTCAGGCAGCCCCTCACTGGCTCAGGACCCCGTCTTCCTCAACCCTGTCCCTCCTGACCACCACCACATGGGTTGCACAAGAGCTGCACATGCAGGAAGTTTTCCCAAGCTCTTATCTCTGGGGGGAAGCTTTCATGGGCTTTTGTCATGGCAGGTGTACCTGTCACAGAACCCAGTGAATAAGAGAATGCAGAGACATAGGAGGCAAATCCAGCAAGATTTTGTTGGATTTCTGGCCAGTGACCAGGGCTTGAGACCCCCCTGGTCACTGGCCAGAAATAAACTGGTCAGAATGCGGTCTGAAATTGCATCCTTTACAGATTTTGGGTATATTTAATGAAGCCAGCACACTTCCAATGAAGTATGTACTAACATGTCAATCAATGGGTGTTTGGTTATATAGGTATACAAGCAAGAAGTCCTTTGGAGGAAATAACTAGAAGATGCAAAGATGACCCTTTACAACACCGTAATTTCTTGCTGTGATGTACCCATCTTGTCATGCAAAATTAGTTAGCAAAACATGTTATTTTGGATTTTCCAAAACCTATTTGTCCCCATGCTTGGTACCATTCAAATATCAAAAAAACATTATTTTCAGGTTTTAATTTGAAATCTGTAATAAGGTTCAAACAAGAGACTCTGACTATTTATCAGCTGGCACAGAATCACAGAATAGAATCATAGAATAGTTAGGGTTGGAAAAGACCTTAAGATCATCTAGTTCCAACCCCCCTGCCATGGGCAGGGACACTTCACACTAAACCATATCACCCAAAGCTCTGCCCAACCTGGCCTTGAACACTGCTAGGGATGGAGCATTCACAACTTCCCTGGGCAACCAATTCCAGTGCCTCACCACCCTGACAGTAAAGAACTTCTTCCTTATATCCAATCAAAACTTCCCCTGTTTAACGTTTAACCCATTCCCCCCCTGTCCTATCACTACAGTCCCTAGTGAAGAGTCCCTCTCCAGCATTCCTGTAGGCCCCCTTCAGATGCTGGAAGGCTGCTATGAGGTCTCCACGCAGCCTTCTCTTCTCCAGGCTGAACAGACCCAGCTTTCTCAGCCTGTGTTCATATGGGAGGTGCTCCAGTCCCGTGATCATCCTCGTGGCCCTTCTCTGGACTTGTCCCAGCAGTTCTATGTCCTTTTTATGTTGAGGACACCAGAACTGCACACAACACTCCAAGAGACGTCTCACAAGAGCAGAGTAGAGGGGCAGGATCCCTTCCTTCGACCTGCTGGTCACACTGCTTTTGATGCAGCCCAGGATACGGTTGGCTTTCTGGGCTGCAAGCGCACACGGCAGCCGGCTCATGTTCATTTACTCGTTGACCAACACCCCCAAGTCCTTCTCTGCAGGGCTGCTCTGAATCACTTCTCTGCCGCAGCCGGTAGCTGTGCTTGGGATTGCTCCAAACCAGGTGTAGGACCATGCACTAAGTATGGTTAAACTTCATGAGGTTGGCATCAGCCCACCTCACAAGCGTGTCGAGGTCCCTCTGGATGGCATTCCTTCCCTCCAGCGTATCAACTGAACCACACAGCTTGGTGTCATCGGCAAACTTGCTGAGGGCGCACTCAATCCCACTGTCCTCTTACTCCTTTTTTTTATTCTTTTTTGTTGCTGTTTCCTAGCTTCCTGGGTTAACGGCTTGCTTCCTTCCTTCCTCCATGAGCTACAGTGGACACTTTAGGCCCCTGCACCGTTTGGGCCTGGAGCAAGCAGTCCTGCTTCCTCTCAGCTTCCCTGACATCTTTCATCCTACTGACAGCGTCCCGCAGCTCAGCCCCTGCTGCAGGAGGACCTCCACCAGGGAGCACCGAGCGCAGCCCTGCCCGTTGCGCACCCTCCCCTCACCAGACCAGTGCAGGCACTCTCTACACCCCGAGCTCTGCACTGCAGCCTCCCCTCTCACTGGCTCTGTCTGGGTGCCTACGCTGCCACCGCCGTGGCAGCCAGAGCAGAGCTCCCGGACCGGGCCCTGCTCATGAGGCGAGTGCTCATCATAACGCTCGCCTGCCCGCGCAAACTGCCTCTGGCACGCGCTCCCTGAGGCGGGTTTTTAAGCAGTCAGGGCTGGTGCCGCCCCTCCTGGCTCCGCCCCCTGTGGGTCAGCTGCTCGCGTTAGGCGCGCTGCCGGCTCCTGGGCAACTCCTGTGGAGGACTTGAGGCTCCCTCGGTGGCTCTTGCCGCTCTGAGCTGAGGCTCCTGGACGCTGAGCTTCCCCCCGCTCCGGTGTTGACGGAGTCCTCTCTCGAGCTGCTCGCCTCAGCAATGTGTGTGTGTTTTATGAATGATGGCAGGTTTTATGATGACAGATTTTTATGATGGCAGATTGGATGAGAGGGTTGCTAGGTTTTAAGAGTGAGGTGGAATGTTTCTGTTACTATTTGGTGCAGCAATTCCTTATGCTTCTGTGCATCACATCTGTCTGTGCTGACTCTTCATTTATAGTAGAATTTGTTTCTTGTGAAAATACTTGTCAGTTTTAAGTAAGTCTAATGTGCTGTTATGCAGGTGGGGCTTTCAACAAATAATCGGTCTTTGGCTTCTAGATGTCTTAATCCTTGATAGCTGTAAGAGTTGTACTAAGGTGCTAAAACAAAAAGTGTGAGGTCTGAAGTCTAATTGATGTTTAGTTTGGAGGCTGACCCATAAAACAAATACGTAAAAAAAGACAACTGGCTCGGCCAACAAGGATTATTGCTTCAGTATACAGCAGACCGAAATAAACTGATTTAGCTTAAAAACAGTATTGTTAAGAAACAAGATAATTTTTTTTTAATTCCTTTTTTTTGGGGATGTTTTTCAAGAACACAAAAAAAAAAAAAAGAAAAGAAAATTTAAAGTTCCCCGCAGTTTGTAGGAAAAGATAGGACTGTTGATACTTATCTTCTCCTCTGAGTGTCCTGCTTGACGTTTGTGAGGTAGGCGATGCTGGGATCACTCACTTCAGTGGGACAGCTTTTAAAGGATTACAGCCTCAATAGCAAAGTAGCTGTTTTGAAGAAGAAAAATTGTGTCCAGAAAACCACTTGGAATATGGAATTTAAGGGTGTAGAGATGAAAGACAAAATTAAAGGGCTGTGAGGATGTGGGCTTGGGATGGAGGAGAAGGAGCAGTAGCAAATAAAGGAGATGTATGATACTGAGCTATGGTGTGAGGTTATGCTGGTTTAATAACACTTTAATACCATTTTAATAATGCTTTGTGTGCTGCTGAAATTGGTCAAATTACTGTGAGTTTTGGAAAGTGAATCAGGCTTTGTTTCCTTAGTCTAATCTATGCAGATGTAGAAGTGCAGTGTTCAGTTCATTTTTTGTGAGCTCCCTCTAAGTGCTGATATTTGTGCACAGGCAGCTGAAAGGGGGCGGAATGGAGAGAGGTGAACTTCTAAAAATACAGTGAGGCAAACAAAATTCTGCCTCTGCTTTCCTGTTAGCATAAAGGGTTTTCTCTCTCAAATCCTGTAGTCTTTGTCTCTTCAAATGTACTGAACTCTCATCTCTAAGCTCAGTCTCGAGTACAAAACTCATTTTCCCTTATCATATTTTTTTCTTTTTCTTTTTTTTTCTTCCTCTTCCTCAGGGTCCTCATAGGATTCTTAACTGTAACCTCTCTTGATACCTCTGCTGTTTCTGCTTCCTGTCTTGTGATGGCTGACTGTGCTTCTGGTGCTTACTTTTTAATTTCTACAAATCTATCTTGCACCACCCAGGAGAACCTTTGAATGGCTGGAGCTGAAACCCAGTTGAACTGTTTACCTTTGGGTGGACGGAAATAGGCCACAGCTGGTGGTACTTGTTCAAGAAACAGTTTTTAATTGCAAAAAGAAAAACCCAAACCACCCTAAAACTGTGCACTCTAATTTGCATGGACAAGACATGCAGCAGCATAATTTTCCATATCCTGCTGCTCTGTTTATTTATATTTTGGTTTAAAAAGTGATTAAATTTAATACTCTGAATCTAAGAAGTTTTTTTCATTACTTTTCTTCATCTACTGCTAAATTCTGTAGTAAGTCTTATGATGGACAACCTGCGTCAGAGAAATATAGGTAAAGCCATATTGTAAAAGAAGGAGAGGACTTTTGAGCTAGATTTTGTAACTTGAACGAGTATCATATGACAGTACTTGCAATAAGACTTTGAGGTGCTTTGCTTTTTTTTCTTATTTGAAGTAGAAAGGTGGTATTTTCTTATTTTTGTTTGGGGAAGTTGGCTTCTTTAGAACACTGAAGTAGCTACCGCTTTTAGTGTTCAGTATGCACACCTATATATTACTAAGAGAGAGTGAAGGAACATACAAAATTTAGCATCTGGCATCATATGCCA